GGGTATGATCTCGTTTTTGCAACTTGGTCGTGTTGTCAGGGCACTCAGTTGGAAGCACCTTGTCCGAAGCCCTCTGCCATAGTAGTTATTATAATTCCCAGCATCAAACCGTGGACATGGCACATTCCTAGACCTTAGGCCGGCATTGTAGTCGCTATCGTAAGTAAGTCAAAGAGAAAAGTCTGTGACGAATTGTATCTTTGTGCTGAGAATGGCAAAACCCAGTGATGATGCTGGCGAAACGTCTGGGGGTGTACCAAATCCATGGTCCGACTTTGGGGAATTAGGATGATTACTATAGCATACGAGTTCGCATGAGGTGCGTCCAATTAAGTCGCCCTGACGACACAATCAAGTTGCGAAAATAAGCAAAGACCACTTCATTAAATAGTTATAATTGCAGGTAAAGAAAACCTCTAAACAAAAACACACCAAAGCTATGTGAAAATCCAGGAGAAACTGAGGCCTACTCATATAATTGTGGGAAAATTCAACAATCACTACCTCATCACCTTGTGCGACTTAGGGTTGATACAGCTCTTATACAATATCTACTGGTAATTTCGAAACCAACTCAATACATATTCAAGGATATTCACTTTCTTCTGCTCGCCAGCTTACAATCGGGCCTCGAAGTCCGGTGCTCGACGAGTCAAGCACCAGCGTTCACGGTCGGCTCTTGGCCTCCGCTCGGAGTGCGGACAATCGGAGTGCAACGTCGATTAGATGCAGAATCCGCTTTCTCCTCTGTCCGTCGTCTGGACAGCTTTAGCGGCCAAAGCTTGCTGACCGCTGCCTTGGGCAGACGTGTGTGTGTTTGTGTGTGTGTGTGTGTATTTCTGTCTGTATGTCTGTTTTCAGCACAAACCAAACCATCGAAAACGAAAGGAGACTAAGGAAATGCACTGAACTCGCACGAACCCAGCGGAATCACAGAACAGACTACCATTTCGCTGACGTCGTACCTGTGTTCGATATTAACTCTTGATTGGCCATGCACACGCACACACATATATACAAACATACACATACATGCATACATGCCTACGTACATATATAATTGCATGCATACATACATGATGTCTAGTTAGTTGCAGACAGTAGAACCAAGTGAAATGCGATCTCGAGTTTGCCTAAAACGCTCGTGGGGTTTAGTAGGTATTTCTTCTGATCAAGTGACAGCCAATTTTGAGAATACACTCAGTTGGTTGTGACCATTTCAACCCACAAGCCCACCATCGTCTACATCTCCAACTTTCCAGCTTGTGAAAACGTGAATGCATTCATTAAGAAGCCTTATTCCTACGCAAACCAAATACAAGACGATCGCTCAAAAGTATGTTAATCTCCAGCGGAGACACGCCGAAGTACCAGTGTCCTCACAGTCTACGAATCCAGGCAAGCCTGGGCGAATCATGCATGTTGACAAAAGCCATTTTTATTCTGTCTGCACGACAAATAATAGAAGTAAAGCTAAAAACTGATTTCGAACCTCTTTTGTGCCTAACGACTGGTCGATACTCAATTACTACACGTTAGCAACTAGACACGAAGAAATCGACTGCTGTTTGCACAAGAGGCAATAGCGCGCGATATCTCAAAGTAAACTAACTCAGCTACCCGAAGCCTGAGGGGTCCAAAGTGCATGGAAGGATATTGCTTTCCATTTGTGTTTATTCCCCCGGTTCGGGGTACTTTGAAGTTGGCTGTGGTGAAGTCACCCACGAATTGTAGCAGCCCAATCGGAAAGGTCTGGAGACGGTTGATTGATCATGGCTATTCGTCAACTGTGTCGCTGCGAGACATGCGGTTCCGCCACCACATGATCAGTCAGGGCCAGAGGACATAATCAGACGTTAGCAGTCTGTAGTCCTGGCTTCGCATGATGCTATGGCAAGTGATGGCAATTCTGTCCACAAGGACGAAAAGATCGGGTGGACTCTACTTCTCAATAGAAATTGTTTGACCTTGTTTTCGCAACTCGGTCATGTTGGTAGGAAGACTTAAAGAAACGCACCTA